CCATGGACCAAAACTGCAAAAATTTCTTAGGTTTACGACCAAAAACCTAGAAAAACCTTGATTTTGGACCTTCTGTGTAAGCTGAAAACTTTTTGGACCTCATCCAAAGATTTTTGTAAACCACAAGGACCAAATTTGCAGTTTTTTCTATATCTGCTCTATAACACATTCTGTCCCGTATGTTATGGCAAAATTACTAGTTATATTTAAATTGAAAAAAAAAGTTACAAAATTATGATCACACATTAACACATAATTGATTCATTAGGATGATGAGATAATTCAGTGCAATATGGCCAATAAAACAAAACATTAAGACGTTTGGTTCGCATAATGTTTTTTTTAAGGAATTGGAGTTGGAAAATGAATTTGTTAGGAATTTGAATCTAATTTCATATACTGTTTGGTTGACAGGAAATAGAATTGAAATTAATTTTATATTCTATATGGTTGGCAGGAAATGAAATTAGAATCCATGTCAAATGACAGAATTGCCTTTTTTTTGCTTAATTTTACTTTCATTTATATTTTACATGTAAAAATATATTATATAAACTATAAAACTAGTAAAATTTCATTTTATTAATTGGACATTCATGTCGGTGGCGGTGGTAAGTGGTGGTTGTGGTGATTGTTAATGATGGTGATGGTAGATTGTGATGGTAGTGTGGTGGTGATGGTGGATGGTGATGACGGTGGTGGTAGGTGGTGGTGGCGATAGATGGTGGCGTTGGCGGTGGTAGGTGATGGTGGTGGTGGCAGTGGTAAGTGGTGGTGACGGTGGCGGGAGGTGGGTGGTGGTGGTAGTAGTGGTAGCGGTAGCGGTGGTAGGTGGTGGTGATGTAGGTGGAAGGCGGTGGTGGTGGTAGGTGGTGGTGCTGGTATCAATGGTAGGTGGTGATGGTGGTGGTGGTGCTGGTGGTGGGTGGGTGGTGGTAGGTGATGGTGGTAGAGGTTATGTTGTGAAATAAAACAAGGCTAATAAGGTAAAATGTCACCTTCCTTCCTAAAAGTGAATTAATTCCGTCATCTTCTTAACACTCTGTTCCCGAGTCGAAATTAATGAGTGAAGCGGAGAGAAAATAAGAGAATTGGAGAGAAAGAATGAGTCAAAAGTGCTCCCGAGTTTATTTTTTGAAGTGATTTGGGAAGAAAGGAAAAGAAATCACAATATTCTTTTCTCTCATAATCTTCCTCCCAAATCGAAGAGATTTAGAGAGAAGAGAATCACTGATAAAAAAAATCCCTATGATTACCAAACTACCCCCTATATTCACGTACAACATCATAGGAAAAAAATCGTTGCTTCTCTGACAAGGGTATAATTGTCCACTTTTAGTTTTCATTTCTTTTCCTTCCAACTCAGGAACACAAAGAAAAATAAATTTCCTTTCCTTTGAACTCGGGAATAGAAAAATACGCTTTACTTTCTTTTCCTTTCCTTTCTTTTCTCTCCATATTTATCTTCTTTTCTTTTCTTTCTTTTAAATGAAACTCGGGAACAATGTGTAAAGGAAAGTGTTTCCTTTATTTGATGGAACATTTTCTGGTTTAGGATTTCAATTTCGTCATAAAAAGTTGAACCAAACACTAGAATGTAGTGAAATTTGAATCCTTTTCACCCAAATTCCATTCCATTCCGACGAACCAAACTCACGTTAAGAACAATATACAAAACTCAGCCAACATGTGATAGCTATGAACAATATGCAACGTTATAATCATAATTTTATACAATATCCATATTTCCCTAAAATAAAGTGTTTTCGCATATATATATATATATATATATATATATATATATATATATATATATATATATATATATATATATATATATATATATATATATATATATATACTAAAAATATCCAAGATTGCAAGATCACAAAGTTACATTTTAGTATATTTTTTTCGCCTAAATTCAAAAAGGAGGATTTGAATTTTGATAATATGATTGTTTGTCAACTGTCATACAGTTTCATTTGTCTATGGCATTTGGGTTGCAATTTGTAAATCGAAAAGGTTACGGACTATTAAAGTTTAATTAAGAAACTACTTCCAAAACTTATAACACAAAACAGTCATAGTATAATGGTAAGTATTCCTAACTGTCACCGGGATGACCTGTCTTGTGAATTATAAATCATAATATCAGGTTGTATTAAAATCAAACTACAATCATAGCACAAAAATCAAAACTTGAAATAGAAATTAGAAGTTTAGGACCAAGTACATTTCCCCAAGCAAAGAGATACATTCAATCACATAATATAACAAACATTTCGATCGCATTCTTTCATTTAAAGGGCATCCATTTGAGTCACTACAAATAAACAAATTTGGCTCAATGACTCGTGATATGGTCAATGTTGTACTTTGATGATGAGCTGCAATTACCAGTTAACTTTAGATTGAAATTATCGTTAAAAGAACTCTGATTACATATATTTGAGTAATGAGCATGATGAGATATCTGTCGACTAAAATGAAATATTAGGTGTATCCAAATCAATTGAGGAAAAGGTAAGAGTCGAGAGTCAAGACAAGTAACCCATTTATTTCATATAAGATTGAATTGGATTTTTCTAAATTGGGTTTTCCAGAATAGCATACTTGTAACCAACTTTTTTTTTTTTTTTTTTTTAAAGTTATCTGATTTTTGCAATTTAACACAACTACAGAATTGTTAATGTTTAGGAGTAAAGTGAATCGATCTTAGAAGATGCTCAACAATGGAGTGAAATCTAAATCAACAGAGAAGATTTTAACCATAACGAAATTATAGGGTTTCATTCGTCTATGGCGCTTGGGTTGCAATTTATTAATCCAAAAAGTAACGAACTATTATAATATATTGAAGAAAGCACTTTCAACATCTAAATCAAAAACATGTCGTTGTAGTATAGTTGTAAGTATTCCCGCCTGTAACGCGGGTGACCCGGGTTTGATCCCCGGCAATGGCGTTTTTACCAAAACTTCTTCGTTTTTTTTTTCTCAGCACTTTCTGGTTTGTTTGGCTGTTTGCAATCAATTTAACCTTATGAGATGTGACATTATGTACAAATATGTTTGCCTATATCTCTTTGCTTTTCTTGATCCTGGAGAATTGTTGATTTCAACTAACTCTGTACCTATTTTGGATGCTTTAAAACCGTAAGAAATTAATGTCACTTTTTTCTTAAACAATTTTCATGTCTATTGATTATTACTCCTAAATTACATGCATGTTGTATGATAAGTCAAAAGAACAAGTATCAGTTGAGCTTCTCAACAACATTGGTGTCATTCATTTCAAAGTTTGTTCAAATACTTCATATTTAAGAATTACTGATTGTTTTTTTTTTTTTTTTTCAAATTATTTATATTTTGTGTTTGAATTCAGCTTGCTCAACAGACTTGTAAAGAGAATGTTCAAACATATAAAAGTAAAACATATAAAAATGAAATTAGCATTGTACTACTACTTTCCCATTAAATATGTTTACCTTTTTTAACACACACACAAGTGTGTGTGTGTTAAAAAATAGCAACTTACTTTCTGATTTTCCAGTAAAACTTTTTTTTATATCCATGATTTTCCAATAAAAAGCAGGAAGTTGGGGGTGATGGGAATAACCAAAGATGGAAACACATTATTTGTTGTATCTTAAGGAAAAAACAGGGACAAAATATGTAATTTCCTCAAGATATAGGGAATTGACATCATGGTGTAGAAAAAACCATTAAGCATACAATGCTATTACTTGAAAACATGAAACCTAAAAATTTGTCAGTTGTAGTGAAAGTAGGTTGCTATTTCTAGCAAGCAATAGAAAACTCCACAAATTTTGTGTTTAGGTAGCAAAAGGTATTGCCTAAACTCATACAAATTTCAATCCTCTCTAGTGTTTCTTTAACATCCATTCCTTTCAGCTTTTCTGATTGTTTAGACCCTCTAATGACAATGTACTTTTACTTATTTGTGTAGCATCCTAATTTCACTTATACCTTCAGATTAAACATCCTATTCCCATTTTTCTTATCAAGGCATTGTACTTTGAAAGCTCTACCCGATTATGGCATTGTTCTTTCACTTTTTACTTATATTAGGTCCAAGAAGACATTATTATTATTATTATTATTATTATTATTATTATTATACCCAATTATAAAATTGCTCTAATTTTGGAAGATTTTTCAAAGAAGAAAATAGAAAGTATGATGCTACAATAAACAACACCTACTCCAAACAAACAATGACTCCACTTAGCAAGGGATTGACTGAAAAATATACAATCTCAATACCATTGATTGATTGTATCATTTAGCCTCTGATGGTCACTAAAACTGAGCTGAAAAAGTCATTTGTGCATTAAAATTTGTCAAGGGCAATATAGTCATTTTGCAGAGCTTTTTTAAACCAAGACCTTTAGTGACAGGGACGGACAGGAAGCTTGCAAAGAAAACTAATGACCGCCTAAACAATGAAACATCTACATAACTTTTGGATTTTGAACCACAAGACTAAAGTTGTAATTTAATCTTTAAAATAATGATGCATGCGAAAATTAACAGTATTTGTGAAATGTGGCTTACTTAATACCAGTCAGGAGGCCACTTGGTTGAAATATGTCACACTAAAAACAACCTGTTTACATAAGTTGAATTGCATTCAGACAATTTTAAACAAATCTTTTTGTGTTATGAAACTGAGATAAAGTTTAAAAAGTACCTCTGGTCTTCATGCAGACAAAATTTTAAACCGATTGCATTCACAATCACAACCAACCAATCAAAGTGCATTGCCTTGCCTTTACCTGAGAAATACCATAGATAATATAACAATGACTAGTTTAGTTTTATAAAAGCAAGAGTTACAACTCTAGATAGATGGCTTTGAATTTTGTTCAAAGGAATACAATGATCCAATATCATAATTTCTTTTTCCTGCATTTTCACAAAGATTAAACAACATCCCACCAATGCAGTCATAGTCAAGCTATCTTTGACTTTAATAAGCTTTGCAACCACACATAATCTTTCAAACCAAATACTTGTGATCTACAGAAAAAGTCTAAAAGTTGAGTTTTTTGACAAACAAAAAAAAAGTAACCATTAAGTAATAAAACCAAGTCACTCTAGCTATGTCAAACATCTTTTAAAACTCCATGCTATCTCCAGAAGTTACTAACTCAGCACAGCAGCTACTAACCTGAAAATGTAAAATAAGTGTATTAGGTTCACAAAAACCAATCTATACAATTTTGAAAAATAAAGAGACAAAAAATGCACAAACCCCAATCATCATTCAGTCCTCCTGAGCATTCCTCTATGAGCAGTGATCGGGAGACTGACAATCATTCTATCCACCATCCTTCTGGAGGCGTGGAGGGAAATGATGTTACTGGTGGTGTTGGGAACCCAGTTAGCCAAAGTGTCTCTCTCGATAAACATTTCTTTGATGAAGTTGTCTGTCATCTGTTTCAGCACTCCTTTGGTTATCAAATGGCGTAGATAAATGGCGATCCCATCAACTAAGCGGAGAGTTACAACCGGGATGTATCGGTTGAACTTCATCCATAGCTTGAACGCATTCTTTCTTTTGTCCTCTGCAACATCCTGTAGATGATCAATTTGTATCATGCCATGACATTCTAAATTGAATACTGACATATTAGATCTTGTTGCAGTCATGAAACTTTCAAGATTCTCCTGCTGAAGCCTTTTTGAAGAATCAAATAATGCTTGGTCAGAAGTGTACCAAGTCAATGCTTCCGCTTCAATTGTTTCTTGAACTCTTTGAGTCAGATCTTCTTTCACTTGATTCACAAACGGCTTCACGACTTTAACCATTATGTTTCATGTTGTCATCAGTGAAGCCAGATAAGGGCTGCAAGGAAAAGATCTGAAGATAATCGCAAGCCTCTTTAACAAATAAATGTAACTCCGTACATGCTATGCCCATTTTGGTATTCACAAGAATGAGATGGGGAGGGTGGGTGATCACTATCACTATCACCAGAATCTAATGCAGCTATCTCATCTTCTAGAAAAGTGTTTTTGGAAGACTTAAGTTTTTCCTTTATTTGCTCAGACAAATCTTTCAGACGAACTCTAATAAGATTGACATACTCAGTTTTCAAGACCTCCTTAAGATCTAGGATGAACTTTGAAAACGCATGCACGACCCCCCCCAATTTCATCTCCTTTGGAAGATCTCTAATCTCACTATTGAGCCGTTGGTCTATTTGGTGGGAGAGGTTTGGCAAAAAGTTTATTATCATTGCGTTTTGGAGTTCTGCGATTTTTTCAGCTAAACTATGAACCCCAACTAGATGCTTTGCCAGCTGCTGTGGGTAAGCTGTTTGGAACTCATCTTCAGCCATTAACTATAACAATAACACATTCCAACCCTTTTTTCCCACTTATGACTGGAAGCAAGTGGGACAGATCAATCCCCAACTCTTCTTGAGATAAACAAAGGACATTCAATGTCCGTTTCCCATCTTTGTCAACTAGTGTTGACCACTCCAGCGCTTTGCAGTTCACCAATTCAGTATTCGTTGCAGATAGTATGTTCACAATTAATGTCTCCGCAAGCTGTCCTTTCCTTATAACCATATCTAAAAACTCAAAAGTTTATTTTTTTTTTGTTAGATTGCATAATATGATTCTTAACAATGAAAATCAAGATACCTTGGAGTTTGATCTCTTCATCGTATGTGCCAATTGCTGGCATATCCATGACCAATAAATCTCGAATACCTCGGTTCTTTACCACCAATGTCAATGTCTCATCCTCGATGCCATCCAATGATGCTCTCTCTATACAGCTAGAGGACTGCATCTGTGATGGGGTGACCTTTCTTTTCAAGTTGAATGTGTTGGCCACCTTCATGATGTTGGTACCTGTTACAATTACAAGAATAAGGATGGTTTCATGAGTTAAAAGAAACAAAAACATAAAGTAAATCATTCTAGCAAATAGTAATGGGATAAACAATTTAATACTCTATATATTAGAGCAATGTGGCTGGCACAAAGTGAGACAAGTCTTTCCTTTTGCCTAGTCCAACATTGGTTGTGGAACCAAAACTGGAGGTTAATAAGGATGCTCACAGAATTTCCTTCCTAATTTTCTTTTTTCTTCCTTTGAGCCTCGGCTTTATTGTTGCTATTAATGTTATATATGTTGAAATTTAAGCTAGCAAATTGATGAACTCGTGGCAGATATGTCAGTTACTCATAATTGGCAGTTACAGTCAGAATCTTAAGGGGTGCAATATATACTTAATATGTAAATGTAAGATTGTATGTAAAAACGTTTTCATGATCTAATGTCAAGAAATAATAAAAGTAGAAGTTTAGTAAAACTCGTGTGTTTTATGTTATGTCTCTAACATTGTGGTATCACAGCCGCGGATTAAAATGGCTGGAAATATGAACAATCCCGTACACCCACAACTCCCAAAATTTAAAATTTAATGCTAGAAACTACTACAATTGGAGTATCCAGATGAAGATGTTCTACGAATCACAAGACTTGTGAGATATTGTAGAAAACGGATCTGAAGAGCCAGTAGAGTTTGACGAACAGAGAATGAAATTAAAAATTCAAGGAAAAGTACAGAAAGGCTCTCTATATAATCTATCAGGCCGGGGATGAAGTTATATTTGAGACAATCACTTCTTCGAATTCATCAAAAGAAGCGTGGGATATGCACTATAGAACATATCGTGGTGAAGAAAAAGTCAAAATTGTTAGACTGCAGACATTAAGATGCGAATTTGAAGGCTAAAGATGAAAAAATCAGAGACAGTAGAAGAATTTTATAATCTAGTGATCCTACTATTAAACCAATTACGTTTGAATGGTGAAATCATAGACGACAGAAGAGTTATGGAAAAGATTATTACAAGTATAACTAGAAAATTTGAATACATTGTCGTAGCAATTGAAGAGTCCAAAGATCTTTCAACCCTCTCTCTTGAAAGCCTGTTGGTATCATTACAGTCTTATGAACTCAGAGTGAGACAATTTGATTCTACTCCTTATGAACAAGCCTTCCAACTAAAGTCACCAAATTCATACGACAAGAACAAAGAATCTGAGAAGGAAGAGCAAAGTGATGATAAAGGCAAAGGAAAGGGAAAATCACAAGTACTGTGTTACCACTGTCAGAAATTTGGTCACACTGCTAGATATTCTAGAAAGTGAATCGCAGAAGAAAAGGGTTCTAATTTCATGCACAAAGAGTATGGGAATGATGGTGACACTATGTTACATGACTCTTAATACTCATGAAGTTCCAATTGATGACACATGGTTCATAGACAGTGGATGCAGTAATCATATGACTGGATGCAAAAGTATTTTTGTTCAAATGGATGAATCTTTCAAAAGAGAAGTAAGAACAGGTGATGACAAGAGGCTAGATGTTCATGGAATTGGTGATATTGCTGTTGAAACCAAGATTGGCAAGAAAAAAAAATACAAAGTGTACATTTCGTTCCAGGCTTGAAGCATAACCTGCTTAGTGTAGGACAACTTTTACAAAAAAGGATATGACCTTCACTTCAAAGGTAAAATTTGTGAGATCAAGGACCCAAATGGAAGCATTCTTGGTAAGGTTAACATGGCCACAAACAAAATGTTTCCTATAAACTTTAAAGGAGATACTTTCTTTTCTTTTAACCTATCTACCAATCAAACTTCCCTGTTATGGCATTATCGATTTGGGCATGCTAATCTGGGATATTTAAATTACATGTACAAGCATAATTTAGTCAGGGGAATGACAAACATCAACAAAGTAGAAGATGTATGCAAGGGATGTATGCTAGGAAAACAGTCTAAGGAATATAAAGCAAGGAGGGCTAGTAAGCTCTTGAATTCATCCACACAGATGTTTATGGTCCAATGAAAACACCCACCATTGGAGGAATTGGAAACAGGTATTTACTTACATTTATAGATGATTTCAGCAGAAAACTTTGGGTATACTTCCTAAAAGAGAAATCAGAGGTGTTTAACAACTTTAAAACTTTCAAGATCTTTGTTGAGAAACAGAGTGGTCAATAAATAAAAACTATAAGATCTGATGGGGAGGTGAATACAATGCCATTTGTTTTAGAGAGTTTCTGAAAGAGAATGGAATTCGTCATCAAATCACCACTAGGTACACTACACACCCCAACAGAATGGGGTTGCATAGTCCATAGAGGAGCATAGAACTATAATGGAAATGGCCCGTAGTAGTTGAAAACCATGAGCACACCGGATCTCACCACTCCAGTCAATATTTAATCTACACAAGGAACAATTTCATCTCTATCTACTCCTGAGACACAACCTAGGAGAGGTTACAAAACTATAAGAGACCTCTACGCTAACACTAGGAGACTTGAATTCAATGATGTTGCAGATTTTGCGCTATTCTGAGGCTAGATTGATGGACAGATACAGATATAAGAACTATGTCTAACTAGTGACACGAATTGCGTACTCTTTTCTGGTGACATTCATGAACCTAGAAATCTTAATGACGCAATTAAAGATAAGCACACAGGATTGACTTAAAGCGGACGCTTACGATGGAATTTTTTGGGGAAGTCAAAGTATACCTTACGAGAAAAGGCATGTTCGAAGATATTCGATCTCCTTCGCCGAGTCTCAGCTCCCCCATTGACTCCAGTAGATGAGATTTCAACGAGCAATCGTCGCCGAGAACAATAACCGTCGGGAGGTATACCCCTTCCTCCTCGATCAGAACGTGGAGCTCGTAGAGATACGAAACTAAAGAGCTCTCCATTTCGTCTAACGGAATGAACTGACTATGGAAGCTTGAAGAAGATGGAGGTGAAAGGCGGGATAATTTCTCCATTTTGTCTTTATTACATCGTGATTCATTTAAATAAAAACTACTAGTATGTATCTTTTTGTTAAGTATATAACATCAATATACCTATTTAATAGGGAAAATGACTCTTGAGGGTAATTAGTTTTGCGTTTATACTCATTTGGTCTCTTTTCTTTTTTTTGTATTCAATATACCATCGAACTTGTTGTTGGTGTTTACCATAGCCCTTTTGACCGGCTTTTGACCTGTGATAGCCGGTCAAAGGGTTATGGTGAACACAAACAACAAGTTCGATGGTATATTGAGTACAAAAAAAGGAAAGGGACCAAATGAGAACAAACACAACAGTTGGTTACCCTCCTGATTCATTTTCCCTTTACTCATTTACAACAAATCCCACATCATCTCCTACTGATATTAATGACTTTATGATATTCATTCTTGCTTCTCTTCAAAACATAACCTACGAAAAGACATTATTCATGCATGTACAACTTTGTAATGCACTTGAATATTTATTAGGGGAATATTGACTAAGTAGACGAATTTCATGACTACATTTACATTTTCAATCAAATGATTTATCGTATCATGGATTCTAGACAAGTCTACAAACGAGTGGAATCACAAGTGCTATAATTTTTTAGTTTACTTAGCTTTAAGATCGAACTCATGAGATAAGATACAACATCAATATGTACAATATTATGGTGATATGTCTACAAAAGCAGCATGATATTGTACATATTGATGTTGTATCTTATCCCATGAGTTCGATCTTAAAGTTAAGTAAACTAAAAAATCACAGCACTTGTGATTCTACTCGTTTGTAGACTTGTCTAGAATCCATGATACGATAAATCATTTAATTGCAAATGTGTAACGTACCAATTCCAGGTATGAATTTAATTAAAGAATAATTAGTCTTATGTCCTACTTGGAGAGTTGGTTGCCCTACTCGCCGAGTAGCAGTGGGAATGGAACGCGTGTTTGGTGACCTACTCGACGAGTCCACCAAGGGACTCAGCGAGTAGGAGCTGGCAGATGAAACCCTAAGTTCTGGGGGTTTTACACCCTATTTAAAAGATCATTGGCTTCTACCAGCCTCCCCTTACTGCTTCTTGTCCCTCTCAAACCGTAAAGCGTGTGTGTGTGTTCTTTGGTGTGTCCAAGCTTGAAGGAGTAACCTTGGAAGGAAGTACTTGAAGAAGCAAGGAAAAGCAAGGCCAGGAAGTTGTGGGAAGCTAAGGGATTGCATCAGACATCACTCTCTGGAAGGTATTAGGCTGTTCCTTAAGCTCTTTTCACTTTGAACCTCCCTTGGATGAGTGTTATGAAGGGCTCTCCATGTTTAAGCTAAGATCTTAAGTTGTAACATCAGATATGGACTTCCCTTGACCTCTAGATCCATAAAGTTCCCAGATTGTACAAGGATGAAGCTCTCCTAAGGTATAAAACTCCATTAAAGAGCTTAGATTAATCATTTCGGGCCTTTAGAGCTTCGCATGTACGTAAAAATTGCAACTTTACGTGATAAACATGCCTTAGGAGCTTGGATCTATAATATGGGGCCTTGCCATGGCTTCAAAAGCATCTGCATGGATTAAGAACTGCATGGACTCGGCGAGTTGAATGAGGGACTCGACGAGTCCGTTGAAGATGGCCATGAACTCGGTGAGTTGGATGAACAACTCGGCGAGTTTGTTAAAGATTACCTTGAACTCGTCGAGTTGTTAGAAAACTCGGCGAGTTGGCTAGGGCTTCTTCCAAATCTTGGCCGCATATGAACTCGACGAGTTAAAAGGGTCCTCGACGAGCAAATCAAGGATTTCACGACTTCTCGAATTCGAGAAGAACTCGGCGAGTCGGTGACCGGCACTCGGCGAGTCGAGTCAACATAGACTGTTGACTCTGACTGTTGACTTTGACTTGGACCAAGGGTTGACCAATTGAATTCTGGGGGTTTTTTGGGATTGGGAGATTTATGAAAAAGGTTGTGTGGTACTTTTAAGTGGTGGGGTTCGTGTTGGACCCGGGAGTTGAGCTTTCTTATTTCCGATGACAGTTGCAAGGTGAGTTATCCTCACTATACTAAGGGGGTCTAAGGCACCAAGGCCGGCCCATTGGAGATGATATTCTAGAAGTTTTATTATGTTTATTCGGAGTTAGTTATGCATGCTAGTTTGATACGCTTGAGGGTAGGACTGTAGGACTACCTGTGATACTGATTGATTTCCGGTATGTGCATTATCTATTACATGTGAGATGTTATGTGGGATGGGTTGAGGCTGTACTGCTCCGTGCGTTAGCCAACAAACCCTAGAGTATTCCAGATATGAGCTGAGGGCCCGGTAAGCATTCCAGACTCATACTGAGGACTAGGGGCATTCCGAATACGAGCTGAGGGCTCGGTAGGCATTCTAGACTCGTACTGAGGGATCGGTAGCAATCCAGATGTGAGCTGAGGGCCCGGTAGGCATTTCATACTCACATTGTTGGCCCAGGGGTATTCCAGTCTGTAAAGCTGTGGAATCGTTATGTGCTGTTTTGCTCAGTTTGTTACGATATGTTAATGTGTGACAAGGTTATGTGGACTGTATGTGTATCGGTATTTTAGGGGTAACTCACTAAGCTCTCGGGCTTACAGTTTCAGTTTATTGTTTCAGGTACCTCAGGGGATCGCAGCAAGGCGAAAGCATGATCGTAGAGCTCCTCCTATTGTGTTATGTTTTTGGGAAAACATGATATAAATGTATTTTGAAAGCAATGTTGTAATGTTTTGACGAATTCGACGTGTTTTTGAAAGTTTAAATTTGGCTTAAATTTTTTAGTGTTACAAAATGTAAATGTAGTCATGAAATGCACCTACTTAATCAAGATTCCCCTAATAAATATTCAAGTGCATTACAAAGTTGTACATGCATGAATAATGTCTTTTTGTAGGTTATGTTTTGAAGAGAAGCAAGAATGAATATCATAAAGTCATTAATATCAGTAGGAGATGATGTGGGATTTGTTGTAAATGAGTAAAGGGAAAATGAATCAGGAGGGTAACCAACTGTTGTGTTTGTTCTCATTTGGTCCCTTTCCTTTTTTTGTACTCAATATACCATCGAACTTGTTGTTTGTGTTCACCATAACCCTTTGACCGGCTATCACAGGTCAAAAGTCGGTCAAAAGGGCTATGGTAAACACCAACAACAAGTTCGATGGTATATTGAATACAAAAAAAAGAAAAGGGACCAAATGAGTACAAACGCAAAAGTTAATTACCCTCAAGAGTCATTTTCCCTATTTAATAAGATGGCATTTTTTTTTCCTATTCTACTATATAACATCAATATACCATACAATTTTTTTTTCCAAATTTCTCAATCAATAACCGTACGTATGATCATTTCTTTTTACCAAATCCCAATTGCAAACTCATTCATTTTTTATTCTTTTATAACATAACCTATTAATTATATTAAACTTTGAGTTAAAATAACAAAGGTTAATAACTCTTTAAAAAAAAAAGGTTAATATCAAACTTAACATTTTGTGATATGGATCTGTGTAAAGGTTTTAATGTTGCAGGGTCGTTTTGGTAAGTTTTATGTATGTTTTTGTTAAGTTATTGTGTGCAAGGGTTGGTTGTGTGGATATGCAATTCTGAAGGGGTAGTAGACTCATTCTTGTCTATCAATTTGTAAGAACACACAGACTTTGGGTCGGATCTTGACCCAGGTATTTAAGTTGTTCCGGAGGTGTTGTTCGTTGGATCATCATTTTTTCACAGATATCTCACATAGGGCATGTTTGGAAAAAATAGGCTTGTAGCGGGTAGCGTTTTGTTAAACGCTACGTGAAGTAGCATTTGGATTTAGAGCGTTTTGTTTAAACTAAACGCTAGAAGCTTGTAGTGTCAAACGATACTTTCTGTTCAAAACGGAGCATTTTGTTAAACGCTAAAAGTTAGAAGCTCTCAAACACTCCGTGCCGAACACGCCCATCGTCTATCTTATTATCTGTAGTTCTCTGTGTAATTAGGGTTTTCTTCGTTCGTTCATCCTTGTTCATATCTTTTGTTATTCATATTAGATTAAGGAGTGTGATCAATTGTGAGAGTGGAATAGGTTATTTGTAGTGAGGTTTGTGTTGTAAGTTTGTGCAAACCATATGTCTATTTGTCCTAAATTGATATAATAGATGATGATGTTGGGAATATCGATTTCTTTACTTTTTCACATGGTATCAGAGCTTTAGGGCTTCGATCTTGTTTTCCGATGATCATCTTGTTCTATCTCCTCATTTGAATCGAAAGGTCTACTTCCTCTTTAGATTTGTTTGTTTTGCCTCGTTTTTGTTTCCGATCTTTGTAGATTTTCAGAGTTCTCAATTAGATCTATAGTTTCTGTTGAAATCTCTAGTTCAATTGACCTGATCTGTGAAAATCTAGGGTTCTTTGTTTTTTTACATAGGGGTTTCCTTTGGATTTTCCTTAAATTGAAAGCGATCTTTGATTATGTTGTTATCTATGTAAGATCTTGGTACTGCAAGTTCTTTTGTGATCTTGCAAGCCCGTCTTCAAGTGGAGATTCTTGGTAGACTGTTTATCTTTGAGTGGAGATCCTTGACTGACGAGCATATTTTATGTTCGCCTCTTCGATCGACCAATCCCTTCTCTGAAATAACTCTCCTAAGAATGGATTTTATCATCGTTAACTCTTGTAGAGAACGGAGTAACGGGATTCGATCCATTTTCTTCTCCCTTTTACTGATATGTGAGAGTTTCTTATTCTCTTCTACCTCTTTTTTAGTTATAGTTGTGGGAGATCTTGGTTGTCTTGAGTACACCAGTTACATTTACTGCTTTCTTTGTTCCTTGTTATTGTTTTCTTTAAATCTGTGTTTCCTGTCTTGGGCCCTAACATACCGTGGTGACCATCTGGACATATAAGGTTCACAATTTTCTTTGTTTTCTTTGTTGTGTTTATTTTTTCTGGTTCACAATTGTCTGTGTTTTCTTTGTTGTGTTTGCA